TTTTTTTTAATTCGGTCATAAAAAAATTAATTAAAACCGGGTCAAACCCAATTTACCATAACTGATTTTCTAACACCATTAAACGATCGTTTTTACAATCATTTTCTATCTTAACATAATATAAATTCTGATTCTCACATGTGATGAAAAAGTAAAGCAAGTACTCTAATTGGCATCCAAATGGGGACAACCATTTTTCTCAATACTATGATCCAAACAGTCATATGACTTAACTAAACTTGACTCCTAACTCTTAGCAACACATGGTTGCATCCAAATAACATTGAAAAAGAAAAAAAAAAATCAAGAACAAAACTAAAAAATATGTAATGTCCGAAAACCCGTCGATATATTATTAGCGGCTTAGCGAACACGTTGGTGATTAATTCTCAATCAGCCTTAACAAGTATCGGTTCATAAATGAAGTTCACTCGACGGCAACTGATGGCTCTGTGATGCTAAGAACATTACTTGTTGGTCAAGTGTTGGAATGACTCCAGGTGAACCATCCATTATCCCCTGCCCAAAAAAATACAATTAAAAAAAACAAAAAACAGAACATTCAACAAATGTGCAAAATGTACCACATTTAGTTTAGAAATGACTTTATTTATACTAATTTCAGGCGAAAAAAAATCGTGCTAGACCTTGGGGAAAGAAGTCGAGCTTTCGGGTTGGAGTAAAGAATAAACTGTTGAAAGGCATCGTTTTCGTTAATGTGGCCATTCGAACATCCTTCGCCCGATTGAGCGTTCTCATTATTACCACTCGTTGGGGACACGGAGTCGTACATTGTTGGTGATGGACCTTTCCTAATATATGCAAACAACCAATAACAATTAACAAGTCACATGAAATGTTTATACAAGGCCTTGGTTTTATAGCCAAATAGCAAATGCAAAAATGAAATATAACCACTTTTTCTGAAAATCTGGAATCCCAGATTTCCAGAAAGAAAGGATTTCTGGTAGTAAAGGTAATTGTGTAATTTCACAAGACAAAACGAATATTATTTCATACTTTTCACAAAAAGTGACTATATATATTTTATTTATCTTTTTTAAAAAGCTACATAGCCATGATATTACCACATGTTTCTATCTGTCAATTGTTAAAAAAAATACATTTTCCTTGTACTTCATTAAAGAGTGCAAGAAATTAACCTTAGAGTTCCAGAACAAGCGTCCGAACCGAAATTCATGTGATCCACATTGCTTAAATCGAGCCCATGATCATCGTCGTTTTCTAGTAACGGGTCGTTAGCTGCTTGTGCTTCGGTGATGTATTGAACCACTGTATTGATTTGCTTTATGCGCGCGAGAAAAAAGTTGATATGAATGAAAAACGTGAATCTTTCTTTTCGGACTTATTGAATGAATTGAATGAGTAACTATTTTTGATAGATAATGTGTTAAAAGCTACCTGTATGGTGTCCTGGTAACTTGATTGTTGCCCAACTTTGCTTAGGAGGAATCTCTGAAATTAGTATTTAGAGATGAAAGTGAGACAGGGGAGAAGAGCAAAAAACCGAACAATTTAACTACTTAATAACTAATAAACACAATCCAAAAATACTTAAAGTTCCTCCAAGTACATTGGAATCACTCCATATACTTAAAGATTTTTGTATCTCTAAAATTAACTTACCTTTCTTTGAGTAACACGACGTAATGCTTCTACCATCCGTATTTCACACGATTGAAATTCTTCTAAAGACGTGAACTTTTCTGGATCCGGCTCAAACACCCTTAAGAGGAACAATGAAAAAAAAGAGTATAATTACTAAGTATGTTTTTTGAACTAGATTGTGATTGTTATGTTTTCTCATTCTTTGTTGCTTTAAATTGTTATTTTTTTTCTTATTTATGTTGAAGGCTTTTAGGAAAGTGTTGAGTGCCTGAGGTCTTCTTCAGCATTCTCAAGCTGTTTCTGCAAATCATGGATCTCCTTTTGTATTTCCTGGAAAATGAAAAAAGATTATTTTGCGACAATTTGATGAAGTCAAGGGATGAGTAAACTCTTTTCTTTTTCTACTTTTTTCATATTTTGTGAGCTAGCCTAACTGTTAGGCGAGTCGACCCGTCATAGAATATATGAACAAAAATTTATGCATACTTACACTATCGAATGTCGTACTTCTGTTTAAAGGAATGTCATTTTTTTTTAATGAAAAGTATGTATTTTTATGGAAAGAGTATACAGTATATGCGGCCTAATAATTAGATTGGTCTAACATAAGACGACATATTGAAATGTATTGTACTTGGAGAATTATAGAACAATTTTCTTTTACCTCAGTATCAGATCCAGGAGTTGCAGGGCTGGTCAAATGATGAAAATATTGTTAACAAAATGAAGAAATTTGATTAAAAAAAAAAAACTTCATGAACAAAAATTAAATTTTAAAAAAGTAAATAAAAAGTGATCACAGACAAACCTTTGCATGGCAATATCCTTCTCAGTTTTAATTTTCATTAAAGTGCTCAAAATTTGCTGCAATCAATATGTTCAGAGAGTATTACACTAACATATGGCATATGCAGTCACCATTCAGAAAATAATAATAATAATATTAATAATAATAAAAAAATCATTGTATAAATTTTGATGTATTTTCAAATCATGAACTTACATCTCTATTAGGGACATTCCTGTTCTTGCAAATGCACATTGCCAACCAACATTAGAAAAAATCAGAGTTAGTTAATTTCAAGTGCTCTTATAATATCAACACCGAAAAATAAAAATTAAAACGATACATTATAATTAAAAATCTACCCTCCTCTATCGCGATCCGAGAGGTTAATGTAGCGGTAAATCACATCTTCGACTCTGTCAACATTAACAAAACAAATGTAACAAAAACCGAACGAATGATCAATGATCGACAAGCAAAAACGATCCATAAACGATCAACTCTTGAAAACAAAGAAAATCGACCCATCATGTATAATTACCTTCCAATAATCATACTTCATGTAGAAGGACTTAATAACAATCATTCAAAAATAAAAATAAAAATAAAAGCAAATTATACCTCTTTCTACCGGAAAAATGGCTTAGACGGCCCGAAGGAGACAACATTATCAAAGTTAGATCAATATCGCAAAGGACTGCAATTTCGTAAGCTTTTTTTATAAGTCCATATCGTCGTTTGGAGAACGTAACTTGACGATTGGTCGTGTTTTCGATTTTCTTGATCGGAAGTTTGCTTCGCCCCATTATTCTTCGTTTATCTTTCTTGAATTCGGTTATTCTTCGACCTATAAAACGAGCATCACATAGTTTTCAATTTGCAGAGGTTTTGTGTAGGATGTCTGAATGAAACATGTGAGGTTGGCAAAAAGGGAAGAAATAATTAATTTAAGCTTTTGGATTTAAGAAAGAAAAGAGATAATAAAGAAATGTGAAATGTGTTGTTGATTAGTTAGAAGGATGAATGGTTGATAAGATTTAGAGGTGATTAGTTGGGAAAAAGTTTGTTAATTGTAGTAAGGACTTTATCATAAATAATTAATTTAAGCTTTTGGATTTAATGAAAGAAAAGAGATGATAAAGAAAATGTGTTGTTAGATTAGTTATAGGGATGAATGGTTAGTAGGATTTAGAGGTGATTAGTTGGAAAAAGTTTGTTAATTGGTAGTAAGGACTTTATCATAACAGCATTAAGAAAGGAGATGTTTGTTTCACAATGGTGTGATTGAGCGAGAATTACTCTCTGACAGGTCAGCCATGTATGTTATTGTCGCATTTATGATTGCGACAATAGTTATTTTTACACATTTTACTACAACAAATTTTACTACAAGTGATGATGCTAACAAATTTTACTATTTATTTGAATTTTGAAGTAATTTTTTTTTTTTAAGATTTTAGTTTTAATTATGTATCTAATATTCATAATTTATAATTTATAAATTAATCTAATTATAAGTGTTAATGCTTCTTAAATTATAGATGTGTGTATTTTATAGATTTCTTGAACTTTATTTATTTACATACAAATTAAATCTAAAAATAGATAAATTAGTTATAAAATATTTCAAATACCAAAAAACCTTTAAAGAGTACTAAAAAAACATGGTAAAAAAAATACAAATTTAATTCAATAACACACACATTCTACGTAATAAATAACTTTATTGAGTTATGCATTTTATATTTATATTGTTCATTTATATTAATTATTAAAATTTTAAAATGTGATATACTCATTATCTAACTTATAACTTTAAGTATATATATACACATATATTATATAATATTTTATTTATATATGTGCATATACACAGTGCTGTTTTGCAATTTAAATTAAAAAATAATTCCAACTCGTATACTACACATGGCCAATAAAAAATAACTAGTACAGAGCCCGTGCGATGCACGAGGTGCACAATTTTAAGGCTATTTATCCAGACTTATAATTATATACATGAATAAAGAAAAATGTACGGAATATATATAGTACGTGACCCGCGAGATATATTTATTTGGAGAATATTATATTATAAGATGCAATATTCAATAAAAGTTTATAATACGCAAGAAATTGTACGATGTTCAATAAAAATTTTATAATATTCAAGTGGAGTCTTAAAGTCTCTTGTACATTAAGACTACTGACAAAATAATATTTTAATCAATGAGTTTCATTTCTTTGTAGCCAAATTGTGAATGTGATTTGAGGAGTACAACAAATCGATATATAGCTGAATTTTGAATGTAAATTTATCCCTTGATATAAGAGAAAGTAACAATTTTACTTATTGTTGTTCACCATATAATATTTAATTATTATTTTATTATATAATAAAAAAAAATATTGTTAAATAGTGTAGTAGAATTGTTATAAAATTATATGATTTTTTTTTTACAATATGAATTTAATATTTTTTTTATGATTTGATAATATAAACAAATCTATACTTAACTTTGACAAATAAAACAAATAAATACTTTAGTAAGTATTTAATGTATATACTAAATAGGAATATATTTGGTATA